GCAGAAAGTTCATATATCCACAGATACCACTCTGTGACATCTATCGATAAATGCTGACTTTTCACTTGCAGCTATTTTATTTATTTCTGTTATATTACAGTCATTCAGATAGTATTTTCTTCTTATGTATGCCAAAAGCTGGTAAGTTAAAACAGAATGTGCTTAGTGTTTGTTTTCTGGGGGGACAAATCAGCTGGGAAGCCTACACATCTGGAAAGCTTCATTTTTCAATCACTAGGTTATTTTTTTTAACACCTTAATCCTTGCATGTAAAAGTCATCTACGTTTCTTCTAGAGGGATAAAAGCATTGCCTCCTCCCTCACATAACAAAAGCAACTGATTTTTTTTAAATCGCCTTTGGGTTAGAATAAGCCTGGAAAATTTCATCTGGAGGAAGAACTAATGACAAAGTTATGAGCATGTGAATAGGGGCATGTGAATGAGAACCTTCCTGTAGCTTCAGTTAAAGCCTTACCAACATAATCAGTAACTTGATTGATAAAACATATTTTTAATTTTTGAAAAAAATTAATAAAACTGCTTTGCAGGATCTCATGGAATGTATGCAGGGGTGGGAGGCATGAATGAAATGTTTAACTATATATTCGTTCTGTAGGTTGAATATCATTCATTCAGGTTCACATAATATTCAGTGGAACTACTGCTGCTGCACAGAAAATGAGCTACACAGTACTCCAGAGGGAGCGCAGGAAGCATTCCAGGAAGTCTGATCTTTCCAACTTGAAGAGCACAGAATAGTAACTCAGTTCAGATCAACGTGGTATGTACTTGAGTTAAAGTGTTTGTATACTGGGGGGAGGGAAATCATCCATTTCACTGCTTCAGCATGGGGGATATTAAGACAGAAGAGCAGAAGCTATTATAGAAAAACATTTCTTTATGCACAAAAAAAATCAAGTCTGCAATCCATCTATATGCAAAATTGTAATTGTGTTATCATCAGCAAGAATGAAGAGGAAGTAGGGAAGAAAGGTGCTTAGGGCTAAAGAAAATGATTACCGGTTCTTGTACGACAGACAAAAGTGAATAAAGTAAAAGTAGAAAAGTTGGTCTGGAGCCGTGGCTCTCCAGTTGTGGTCTTCAAGAAAGGCTAGGGGTGGACGTCAACCAATCCTCAGCGATAACAAGCAGTATCCATGTTAGATGCCATACTACTCTATGCATCCTGCTTCCCAAACACCAACTGCCTCACTAAAAACAATTTAACTAACTTTGCTGCAAAGCAGTGCTGCTTATTCTAGATGGCACACCTCACTAATGCAGCTACACTGATTCCAGTCCAGTCCAGTGAAGCCCAGGAGCTGGCTAACAACCCACAGCACTGCTCTGTGCTGACCTAGCACAGCACTGATGCAGCTAACATAACACAACTTCCAGATCCAAAAGTTGCAGTTGTCATGGTGAGTCCCAGAGACAAAAATTGAGAACCACTGGCATACAGGACAGAGTGCTGGAGCAGAACTCAAGAGACTTGGCCTTCAGTTCCCAGTAGGCCTGTGTGAAGTGGCTAGTATTTGCTTCAGATTCGGATTTGGCTGATTCGGGGGACAAGGATTTGATTCAGTGATTCAAATCACTGTCCCAAATTGATTCAGCCAAATCATCCAGGCCCATCCCCTGCCTGCTGTCCCAGCCTGGCCATGGCTGCTGCCCCAGCTCCCAGCACTTGGGGGGGAAAAAAAGCCCCAACTCAGCAGGTAGTGCTGGGTGGGAGACAATCCCTGCTGCCCCCCACTGCTCCATGCTGCATGGTGGGCTCTGCACGAGCCCCCCACAACCTCCCCCTCACTCTCCCCACCCCTACCATGGCTGCCCCACCCACCCCAGCTCCGGCCTTTCAG